TGCTTAAGGAGAGAGCCGTAGTGGTCCTAATCTGGCCACTCCCTAAAAGTGATAACTGAATAAAAGTGCTTTATTTTTGCTTTCTAGGAAATGGCAGTCACAAAAAAAAAAAAAAAAACGAAAAATATGAGCATCGTTCACCCCTCAACTCGGAGACACAACAAGCGGCCAGGTTGCCTGTTGCCTATCCTATGCCGCCAAGGTCACCGTGGAAGAAACATTTAGGTGATTAATCTTTGTCCGACGTGGCGACCACATTATGTTCGGCGCACCGAGGCCTTCACTCGTACGAGGATAGATGGCGCCCAAGTTTCGGGTCCATTCCAAACCGACCGCTCCGGTTGTTTCTCCTTAGCGGTGGTCCCGCATTCCCTCGCTCACCGCTTCTTGCTGTACCCGCGGTGCTAAAGGTGAATCATAGCCACGCGCTGGCGTTAGAAAAGTAATAAAAACGTGCTGAGCTCCAACCATTGTTTATTCGGATATTGTCATTACCGCATTGGTTGGTCACGAGCCACTACCCGAGTGTCCGCTGAGGCATTGATGGCTACGAGCCGAACTCGAGTGCTCACGCAGTTCTCGTGTCCAATCTAGAAGCCGCCCTGGACTGTCGTCAGGCGGGTGGTTTCAATCCCACAATTAAGTCATCATGCTTCGTGGAGGCAAGAGTGAAAAAATACTCCTCTTTCACCCTCGCCATTTCACCACGACAAAGAACCTTCCGAATCAGCGGCGGTCCCTGCGAGTATAGTTGGGCCAGACTAGGACTAGTACGCCTCTGCAAAGTAGTGAAAATCCGAACCTGATATCGTTTCATCACCCCTATAAAGGGGAACTCCGCCGATTTTTCGGTAGACTTCGATTTGGCTGGAAATTTGCAGACCGCGTCAATAACCCTTTCTCAAATGATAACCAAAATATTTTAAGAAAATAAAACTTTTCCGTGAAGTTATGGAATTTTCAAGTTACGCCGGCCGCGAGGGTTCCAGGAGGCGACTCTCTACTGGCAACAATGAGAAATCCCTACTTCTCCCTACCCGCGTACATCACGATTGTGCTGGCAGACGAGGGACTCGGGCAGCCGCGGCCCGCCAAGGGGCTTTCCGGACGCCAGCGATCGAGATCATTTTTCCGCAGCTTCAAGGTTGAAAGTTCCTTTGCAATGAGTAGCAATATGTGCTCCGCGATAGATTGTACAAACAGTGCCGGTAAAAAGATTTTTTTTTTACCCTTGTTTTTGTGGGAGAAAAAAAAAAGCGTTCCCCGGCAGCAATGGAGACCAGCGACGTCAAGGTACGTTTGTGCAAGCTGTGTGCCGAGAAAACTGGTGTCACGTGAAATATTTTCACTTTTGCTCGGAATACTTTATAGCCGCGAGCTGCGAGTTGTTTCCTTCAGCAGCTGGAACAGCTTCAAGAGCGGCAAGCGCAAGCTCAAGCCGGCTGTGACCATTACGACACCCGTCTAAAGAAGGGCGCTAATAATATTGAGAAATATAGTACACGATATACCACTATAGTCGACATTTTGCACAGTCACATTTGTTATTCACAATTGGTTCAGTGATTTTCTTTTATTTTTTTATTTGTTTTTTTATAAACACTATATCTGTTTCGGACGTCGAATCTAGCTCGGGCTACTCTCAGAGTTCCACTCACACGGTGATATGTTGAAGACGCGAAGTGAAACATCTAAACAAAGTTCAAGTCTGAATTTAGACATGACTTTCGACAGATTGCTATTTCTGTCTGCTATTACAGAGGTTTATGAAGCAGGTGTTGAGCTCCATTAAAATACGATAGAGCCTTGCCTGGTTTGTTAAATGGTTGGTGTGCAATATTCTTTGCAGAAGAAGTGGTGAAAACGTCTTTAATTTATTCCATTGCGGAGAAATTTTATACAGAGCTGAAAAGTTTTTTATTTAATCATGAAAATATTAATGTTGTTGAGGGGAGGTATTCAGATTTAAAACTGATGAAAACTGTGCTAAACCAACTTAATTTTAAAGAAAAATCTTATATAGAATTACCTTTTTCCCATGTGCTCTCGTGGATGGGTGTTTGAACGCGTCGCATTCTACTCAAAAAGTAAAGAGAAAAAATACGGGTACATATTTTTTAGCAACTTTTGTTAACTTATTTTTAATTAAAAGATTTATTATGTCTTTCTGTACCTCACGCACTATTGTATCTTCAAGCAAATATTCTTTATTTTGAGATGAAGAGTGTAGTTGTGTATTTTATACGCATTCCAAACCAGTCCCATGACCCGTATTCAGCACTTCTACAATACTCCCAGGGGAGCAGATATTAATGTTTTTAACCCAAATTTCGCAGCTTTTAAGACTGTTCTAACTAAACTGTGAACATTTTGTTGTGCATCATTACCAAGGCGTCAAGCTGTTCATGAGCACAGAAAATAAACAAATGAATGAATGAATGAATTCCATTGCACCTTGATGTTTGGGTTGGTGATTGCAAAGTTCTCTTAATCGTCATTTTAACAGGATCTTCATGACCAGTAACCTGTCATCTGATCTACACGAATGCAGTTCATTCTATTCTATACAATTCATTGTTTACGAGAATCACAGTCTACATGTCTCAGGTCCCAGCCCGGCATGAACATGTTCGCCGCTTTGGAAGGCGAGCAATGTACGCGCCACACGCACGAACGCTAAAAATTGCATCGACCAGAAGCGCTTTTCAGAAATGGCCTACAGACCTTTTGCTATATTACTTAAGCACCAAGGAGCCTATTCATGCCACAAGAGTAGTTACACGTGCTGACGCCTGCAACAGTAACTTTTCAAAAGAAAATCTAAAACAAATGGCACGTTCCTTCACGTCATACGAGCGTGTATTCTGAGCACCCACATTCCGAGCATTTTCCGCGGTGCTTTGGTAATTCGTCAAAAAATATATTGCGTGACTCTTCGACCTTTCTTCGCCAGCCATCTTTTAGTAAAGGGAGAACGGGTTTACTGGCGATATTACGAAACTAACGAGCTGCGGCTTAAGCGTAGCGAGTTGCAAAAACGGTTTTATGAAAGTTCCGATTGATTCCTTTTTTTTTTACTTTCTTATAGTTAGGCACGTAGGCCATGGCCAGACTTTGTGCAAATATCGATAATTATCAGCTTCAAACAACACGAACGGCCCGGTTCTTTTGCTGTTAGACGCGAGAAGGGGGGGGGGGGGGGGGGGGGGCACGAGCGTACCCGATTGGCGGGCCGCGCGTCGCTGCACACAAGTGACGTCAGGCTTCGGCGGCGGGGAAAACAGGGGAAAAACTAGGGAGAACGATGTTTACGTTTCGGCAGCAAACAAAATATCACATTTTCTAATCAACTAGAGTGAATCTGGGAGAACGGCATTGCATTTCGGAATCAGGAAGCCATCTGCATTCAGATTATGCCTTTGTATTCGGTAGCTCAAAATGTCGGCGGATTTTACCTTTAAGGGTCGGGTAATTTAGCAGAAGGTCTATCGCAGAGTCAAACCCGCCGGTGTGAAGGCGACCCTCTTGTAAAGTGGAAAACTAACCTAATCGAAAGAAACTTCATATTTCATATTCATTCTCACTTTAAGTGGAACCGCGCAAATGGTTCACTACCAAACAGCGCCCGAAATTGCAGCGTCACGATGATCGTTTTGTTTTTGGGTTCGTGATCCCCAGCTAAAACGATCACGCACAAATGTAAGCGCAGGATCATGGTTCATTTACTGAGTGATTAGTTTAATCGGCGACAGGGCGGATGCAGAAAGACGATGAGTGCCCTTGACGAGGCAGTTTTGGGCGCTGCCTGGTTGCCTCCATTAAGGTCCCTTGGTACTCCTTTTACAAGTAACGCCAACTAGGGTCGTGCGAATGGGCCTCCTGTGCTGGAGCTTTGAACAAACTGTGGCGCCCTCGTTTTGGGTAGTACAAGCTCACCTGGTTGGGACTCCCACTTTTGTGGCGTCTTCTCTGTGATTTTTTTCCTTCTGTGCAGTGCAGAAAAACGGAAAAAACACCTTCAGGGCGTCCGAAATCAGCTACGTTTAACGCCGCTAAACAATCGAAAGTTCCGGATTCATGCCACCACCGCTAAGGTAGGCGTCTCGTATCTCTAAGTGGTGAGGTTAGAGCATCTGGCGTCCCGACGTTTTTGTGTTTTCCTCCCCTTTATGTTTCTCTGGAACGCGTGATATGGCGCATCTTGGTTCACGCTATTATCGTCCTAGCTTTGGCCTATGCTTTGACGACGTTCAAATTTTTCATTTTTTCTCTATTCCTCGTTATCGTGTTCCGCGCCCCCATAGCAAGCAAGCTTCTATATGTGTGTCAGTTTGAGTCGCTCAAGTTTGTACTACCCAAAACAAGTCCTAAAAAGTCATTTTTCGCAGCGCCTCGTGGACAGCCCAGGATGCCTATAGTGGTTCGAATCGAATACTGCTGCGTTATCCATCGCCTTAACAATGCAAGGGAAAGCCAAGACGGCCAGTTCTTTTAACAGTGAAGAAGCTAGGCATGACGCTGCGCTTTTTGATTCGAACTACTATTCGCACACCGCTAACGAAAACCAATACAAATGACAAAGCATATTCCGCTGGAACAATATGGCGGCATTCAGTTCAAACCTTCGTTGTGCGTCGCCATTCGCTTCCTAAACCCTGCACTGTCACGTAGTTGGCGCTTCAAAGAATGACGCTACTTGGAGGTAGCTTTTATCTAGGGACTTTAGCCTTCATCGAATCGCGGTGCCGCTCTAAACATCTGCTGATCGGTGCGCAGTCAATGGGAAATCCTGGCGGTATCAGCCGACCAGGCCGCCGATGAACAAATCAAGGAGCAAGGAGCAGGATCACAATGGGCGAAGCCCTGCGTTTCATTTAAATTGTCCGTGACAATCATAAAATAAAATTTAAAAAAAATTAAAAAAACGGATGCCTACTTGAAAGCCAGTGCAGGAGTCCTTCCTGGAAGACCGCGATGTTCCTAAGCGTGAGCTTCCTGACGTAGTTCCTGACTTCTCTTCCGGTTTTGTCTTGCTCGTCCAGCCTGAAGCTGAATCCCGTCCGAAGCATCGTGTTCGCCGCGAAGGTTTTGCATATAGCTAAGGTGTCGATGGACTGGTCTTGAGTGGACGTCCCTTCGAGGACTTCCAAAAACTCGTCCGTGCAGCGCTCCAAGAGGTGCGGCATCTGGAACGGGAACATCGCATACCTCTCGTGTATCAGCTAGTTCACGCACTTGCGTTTGCTTATGACCGAGTTCTTGAAACCTCTTGCGACCGAAGAACAATCTGGCAGGCTGGCGGCCTCTGTGTGTTGATCATGGAACTTCACTTTACTACAGCGAAGGTTCTGCGGCGTTTCGCAGATCTAATGTAGGTACTATTTATGAGAAATGATCGCTTATAGCAATGTCATCAGTCTTTCGAGCCAAGGAAGAAAGGATGATGCGCGATGAAAATGAGATATACGGAAATGCCGAATGTTCCATGGCTACCCGATAGATGGTGCCAGTGTGTTTTTTGTCGTAAGAAATTTTATCGAAAAGAGGGCGAAAACACAGGCCAGCTGGTGAAGAATTTCCATAGTAACCTGAGACACGGGACAATAATAAAACAGGCAAACTAAAACAAGTCTCCAAGACGACACCAATTCAGCCAAGTTGAATACTCAAAGGTATTAACATAGGCAAGCCTGGAAGGCTTGTTTATGTTAAGATGACAGTATTAGTATAGATAAAATTAGACGGGTGTGTTGGTTAAACATCTTGGTATGCGAGCGCAAAAGGAGAGACGGGACACACAAAAACACTGTCCGTGCCCCACGTGTTTTTGTGTGTCCCTCGTTTCCTTTTGCGTTCGCATACCCAGAAGAATTATTAGTATGTTAAAATGACAGTATTTAGGCTTTAACGTGTGGGAAAGACTATGCTAACACTTTTGGGTATTCTACCTGGTTGTAGTTGTTTCGTCATTGAGAATCGTTGTTTTGCCCCTTTTTTAACGTTCTTTGTCTTGGTTACTATGGAAGAAATGTTAAGATGTTCTAAAGCATACAGTCGCAAGAAGATGCTAATGTGCAGCCTCAATTGTTGCGCACGTGGGAGACCACTACGTTCAATGAGTTTACTCCCAGAATTATACACCTTTTTTGTTTAGCCTCGCACCTAGCCACGTTGTACCCCCCATCCGGCATGCGTTCCGAACAAAAAGCAAGAGGTTACAACCTCCAACAAGTAAAATATATAAAAGGGTCATATCAAGAACGAATGACGGTTGCAATAAAAATGTTAACACGTTCTACTGTCGAGGAGAGAAGAAAGCGATGTTTTCACGCATACCGGAAGTTACATAATTGAAGATGGTGGGGGGGGGGGGGGGGGGCGCCCACGTAGAAAAGGTGCATAGCTGTCTACTCAGGCAACCAATTATACCTTTCTCAGATGATTGGAGTTGTACGATCTGGTGCATACTCCACGAATGCTCCGCCATTTCTGACCCGAAGCGTTGAAGATATGTAACTTTCGGAAAGGATGATGAACAGAGAGCATGGATGTGATCTGCAGAAAAGTAACCCGTCATGTTGAGAGAAGATTCGAGACCTCATAAGAACGGGGCGTGACGTTTTTGTTCCTTGCTTGGTGAATATATCTTCTCCTTTTTCATCGGCTTATAGTCTTACTGGCTGGAGAGCGATGATACTGTTTGGGACTAGCCAGGCTCAGCCCTTCTTAAAGAGACACCGACAGGGTATTTGCGCTCGCCGAGGTTTTTATTTAAAGATGACATATAAAAGCCCAACTTCCCAGAACGCAATCGGCGGCTCGAAATTCGTTTTTTCCCGATCGAAAACACCGGGTCCAGAACCGACCGGTTTCACTCGCGCCCACTTTATTTTTCCTGGTCACGTGGTGTTCAAACGATGTGCACCAAATATATTCAAAGTCGTGGGTCAACTAATGCACGCATTCAATATTAAGAAAATAAAAAAAAAGAATACCAACCCGATTTGTGTGGCCTCCAAAAAACTGCAAATACGTGGATAAGAAAAAATAGATGTTGCACAGACCACCAAAAATACACGTCATTCTCAATATGGCGACGTACCGCAGGCATACAGCGGGCTGGACGACGCCATGGCGGCGCACGACGTATCAACGGTACGACCACTGATCTCTATTGTAATAGGCTGGATCGCGGACCGAGGCTTGTCTTGCTGTGAACGAGTGCCGCCACCGGCAGTACTTAATTCACACCAGCTAATGCACGGGATCATAAAACCCTATACAAAAAACGAGACAAAAATGGCGCGTCCCCCGTTTCTAAGGCGTTGTTCATACTAAAACATTTTGGCTGTTTTTCGGGAAGCCTTTCATATACCTTCTGCACAAACATTAAAACTGAAAGCCCTCACACTTCTTATAAATCAATGCTTCGTGGTCAAGTGTAACTCCGCTTGGCGGCAAATGTAGTGCAGTTCAATGAGACAAGAGTTATACGTAGAGTATATCGCGGAGTCGGTGGCCGTTTCGATGGGTTGGGTCTAGCAGACGACAATTTTAGGCGTTGCTACGCGGAATTCATTCACTCCCGGAAAGCCGCTGTCAAGAGGGAACTTTTTTCGACATTCATCAAGTTCTGGGCTTCCCCGAAAACGGTCTTATTGATGGCAAGTTCCTTTGTTTACTCCACTACGAGATCAGGTTTGCCAGCTCAGCCGAGGGTACTCCGGCACGTTAGATTTTATTTTAATCGGCGTTCCGACGCTCGAAAAATACCGATTCTAACTTCAAACACCCGACATAATGATCGCAGCATGTAATAATAAACTCGCCTTCGAGCACTGCGTACAAGCTTCAGTATGCCTATTTTTGTGGGCGTCTTTCATAGACTTGCGTGTATTGCCTGGTGTCAAGTAGTCGCCGCGGGTGCTGCCACCGACAGGCTGCCGATCCGCGATCCAGCGTACTACAATAGAGGGCAGTGGTTGCGACAGACGTGGGGCCGCTACTTCGGAACTGTCATTCCTGGTACCGGCCGATCGATTCTTCATGCGCAGAACATCGAGCGAAAGGGATATTAGTGCGAAACAATCGCGCGACAAACAATGCACGCAACTTCGTTGTCTACTTCACGCCGCAGAAGCGGAGAAAAACAAAATACCGTGGTCGGGAGTAGCCACGTGACTTCCGCTCATGAGGTTCCGTGCTCGTGTTTCGGTTTGGAGCAGTGAGTTTTTTGGCTTTATTGAAATATACGTGACTATGTAGCAAAATATTGAATGGGTAGTCTCCTGATACTATATTAAACCACCTGGCAAAAAATAAAAAAAATTGGTGGGTTTTAGTGTACTTTTATTTGTAATTGGTTGCAGTGGAGTGTGAAGGGTGTGAAGCGTCCAGAACAGGAAAACCACCTTACCCCGCGGGAACTGCAGTCTTTAAACTTGGCGATTTGAATTTGTTTAATAGCGTCGAGGTCCTTGATTAACACCATGGGTACTCTTCCATTGTAAAATCTAGAAAGACGCAAGGAGCATGAAAAAGCTTTATTTAAATTTGAAAATTCTTTCAGAAGTCGTTTTATTTAATGGGGTTCCGTGTTTGCGGCATATACCGAATTAAGCCGGAAAGCAGCCTTCCAGCCGGGCTGTGTTTCGAGTCGACATAAGTAAAACATAAACGAAATTACACACAGATTTTCTGCCCTTTCAATGCTATTTATTGAATAAATTACGGGACTTCGAAGATAAATGTCTGTAATATATTTTTTTTATTTTCCTCGATTTTTATAAAATTACCAGAAGGGTTAATTTTATGGGTCTATTGGTACTTAGCAAAAATACGGAATTCTGTATAGAAACTGTAATATTATTCAGAACTGGTGAAGATTGTAAACTTAGCCGCTGGAATGTATATCCATTATACACAAACTTTGGTACCACCGATTGAGGGGCAAATATCGCTCTAAAGTTTAATGTAATAACCGCACGTATGACTGCGCGATCAGTGGGTTTGCTGTGGAATCAAGCCTGCCATAATACTATCGATAATAGTGAGAGCGTTCACGTACCCTACGACAGACCCGTACTTCTGCGTCCATTGTTTGAATGTTACCACAATTCCCTAAAAGGAATTCGAGAAACAGAAAAATCAAGCTTTAATAGTTGCTTTCTAGTAAAAAAATGTAAAGAGTGCATTCCTTTCGGTCCTTCTTTCTTAAAGCAAACCGCATTTATCTGCAAGTGCACGCGTCGAATGCGCTCTAATGCAAGATCCAAACGCCCGCGTTCTGCGTTTGAACGCATTCGACGAGTTTAGTTTAGATTAAGGCAGCTAGCTTTAGGTCTACTTACAGTCACTGAATGCTCCCAGAGTACCGAAGCTCCTAGGCTCGATAACGCCAAAATGACAACTCAATCTTTTTTTTTTTCTTTTTACTGTGGTCATTACGAGTTCTTAGAAATCACGTTTTTGCATATGGACAAACAAAAAAAAAGCTTTTTGTAGGAATTTTTATTGGAGATTAGTATAAGATGAGAAGTTCGTGACGTTTTCCTATAATTTTAGTTTACAAGGTCCTGCGGCGTAATTCATATTGTTTTTATGCAACCGTGTCTCACCGGTGATATCAGGTAGAGCGTCCCGACCCGGGCGCGTTCTAACTTGGGCATTATTTTGCGGCTTGTCCGCGTGGGAGATCGGGGGCCAGGCGTATCACCGTAGACGTTTCGGTCCCAAAATAGCCGATCAAAGCTAAATGGGAACAGCCACAGCGGGCGTTCTCAAATGCGATATTCTGGAAACATCCAGTGACTCTAGGTCCTACTAATCCTTCCGATCAAAGCTTGGCGTTTTGACGTCACTTCGTACTTTCGTCTTTTTCTCAAAACGACAAGGGGGGTATTTTAGGCAGTCGGTTTTCTCAATCAATCATACCTTCTCCACCAGTTCGGGCAAATTGCCGCTGATAATGTTTGGCGTTGGTCCGGGAATCCCGAGAGTCTTGAAGAGCGAGAACTTTCGTTTCCGCCAGCTAAGTTGATAAAAAAAATCGTAATGAAACAGCAATAACACGAGTAAATATGCGGTCAAGTCATTCTACCTACCACACTAGAAGCAATGCACACCCTTAAGAGTGTTAAAAAGGTGTACATTCATATGGCGTCTTCCATTGGGTCCATGGGTGCGC